AAATTTAGCTGAATTCTAAAGCAAAGGAGCGTTTGGAGCAATGTTGTTTCCTTGTGAATGGGTGATTGCAGCTTGTGTTTATGTTTTCTTAGTCAAGTGTGCACAACAATTTCTATCTTTTCTTGTTACCGTATGATCACTACTATTGTCGAAGTTGTCTTAATTTTTTTTTACTAGTTTCGACTACTTAGAGGTAACGTTACGTATATAACAATTAACAATCTCATCCTACCCCACATAGGTAGGATTTTACATAACTATGTATCATTGTTGTAATAGAAGGTTTTTCGATTTTGTTTCATATAGTATTGAAGCCGAATTTTAAGTTGTTAATTAACATTAAATCACGGAGGTATTTAATACAAAGTATTTAATTTTAAGCCCAATTTCTCTTCAAGAACAATTAAATTATTCATATTATTATCTTCATATAAATTTTTTGAATCAATTTGTTTTTTTTTTCTTGTTTTGGTTGCATTCAATGGTCAAAGAAATTTTCCAGATTTTACTTTCTTATTTTGGTTGTTTTTTTTCTTGAAGAGATTTGGGATCGATCATCACTTATCCTCGTGGCTCTTTAACACCAAAATAAAATAAAATTAGAAAGGTTAGTAACTGAATAATTTATTCTTTTACAGATACTTTATTGTTACAAAAATAAAAAAGGGAGATTCATTTTTATTGAATATTTGACATTGTGTTTAGATATTCATGCAGTTGTGCTTGTGATTCATGGAAAAGGATAGGTTTCTTTTGGTTCTTATTCATGAATATCTCGTTCCAAAAAAGGAAAATTTGGTATATTTAGGTCTTGTTTGGTTGACAACATAAAATGGGAGAAGTGGAAATTCATGAGATTTGATAAATTGAGGAGTTGTTTGATTGACACAAAAAAGCAAAAATGAGGGAAATGAAAATTCATCGGAATTTTAACTTCCCACAAAACAAGGGAAGTAAATTACCGCCCCCCCTAGGTCAATCAAAATTCATGAGATTTCTAAATTCCCACATTGCCAACCAAACAAATTTAGGAAATTCCTAGAAATTTCATTAGGGAAATAAATTCCCACAAAAAATTGCATTTTATGGGAAGTTATTTCCCATGTCAATCAAATAAGGCCTTAGTTTTCTCAATTAGTTGGTTTTAGATAATGCTAATCAGATAAGTGGGTACATACAATAGCATTTATACCACAAATCACATGGAAGCAATCCACTTGCAAAGTTGAATCGTATATGATCCAGGGTGATAAATTTAATTGTATACAATATGCTCAATGTTAACAAATATGAAGTACAACAGAGTATTAAATTATCTGGAAAAAAGTTAAACCATTTTCCTCTAAAATCGAGAGAAAAGTCTAATTAACTGAACTATTCGTCACTCTCAATTTATTGTTTTTTTAATAAAAATTACGGAGTACTTCATAAATTTCAATAGGATGAAAGGGGGGGGGGGGGGTGATAAGGAATGACTAAGGAGGTTATCTCATGGTAAAAACCTCTAATTGTTCTATTAAACGGCCCTAGCCCAAACTGCATTAAAAGCATTTTGGTAATAAAGAAATACAGAAAGGCAGGCCCAAATCCAATTTCATTTAAAATTTGACTGGTAAACTGTTTTGTATTGTCTTTTTGTCTGTAGGAGGTCGGTAAACGACTTGTTGCATTCACACCCGGCCAAAATCTATATACTCCGTAATATAGAAGAATATATTGTATTTAGGAATATTTATCAGAAAATTCCTTTTAAAAGCACCATTTTATGAAAAAAAAAAACTTTTAAAACCTTTTTGGTTAAAAAAAACCACCACGTTCATTTTTTTTTGCGAAATGAAATCCATTTCCTTTATTATCCTCTAATTAACTTAATCAATAATTTATATACTAAAAGACACACCAGCAATGACACGTGTCATCTTTTGGCGTGTCCTTAGTATTTTTTTTTTTTGAAAAAAAATCAATTATAGTATAAAATAATAAAATAATCTTATATAAAAATATTTTTTATATATATGTTAATAACAAAGATAATTACTTGAAATAAATAAGATTTGATATACCTTTCCACACAAACATTTATGACTATAATAAAAAGAAAATATTAACATGATTTGCGACATATTTTGATTTACTTCAAGAAAGTATTCATATTTATTCCCTAATAAAAAATATTTGTTTATTTATTGATTAGAATTCATATCAAAGTAGTGTGCATATTTTTTTTTTATTATTTTATAGAAATTTTTTAACTTTATGAAAAGTTGATAGTAACTTTTAAAAATTACCGTGTATTGCACGGGACCTAAACTAGTTAGACTCTAATTTTCTCTCATTTCTTCTAATTAACCTCTAACCCACCCAATAACTAAATAATTAGATTTAATTTATATATCAAAAAACCACCACCCCTACAACCAACCAACCACCCCTTCCCCTTCTTCCTCCCTTTCCCCCTCCCCTGTCAGCAACCCCCCTCACCCATTGGACCCGCCGCCCAAATCCCCCCACCTCCGGCGACCTACCTTCACTGCCGGTTGACCTTCCCTTTCCCCCTTATCCCCGTTGGCAACCACCACCACCCTTCAATTTTTTTGGTTCTAATCTACTTAAACATGCTCAAATCAAGTCCAAAACAATTGCAATTTGCTTCTAAATCACCTTAGCATCACATACATACATAATCAAAACCAAAACAAGCATCAATTACAAGCAAGATGCACAAAATTAAAAACCCCCAAATCGATTTTCCAGGGTTTTTCAAAATCAAGGAGGTGGTTGTCGCCGCGGTGATAAGGGGCAAAAGGGGGGGTCGTTCGGCGGTGGAGGAGGTCGCCGGGGGTGGGGGGATTTAGGCAGTGGGTCCGATGAGGGAGGGGGGTTACTTCCATGGGAGAGGGAAAGGGAGGAGGAAGGGGAGGAGTGGTGGTTTTATTTATTTATTTATTTATATATATAAATTAAATCTAGTTATTTAATAATTTGGTGGGTTAGAGGTTAATTAGAAGAAATAAGAAAAATTAGAGGCTAATTAAGTTAATTAGAGGGTGATTAAGGAAATAGGTTTTCTCTCGCAAAAACAATGAACGTGGTGGTTTTTTTTAACCAAAAAGCTTTTAAAAGGTTTTTTTTCGCAAAATGGTGCTTTTAAAAGGTTTTTTCTAACAAATTTTCCTTGTATTCATTACAAATTGTATTGTCATTATGAGGTCGGTAAGTCAAGATGTTTGTTACTCGAAATCTTACAATCAAGAGGTCGTAGTATTAAATTCCACTAGATATAATTTGGGATAAGATTTTCCTACTCTCCACTCTTAATTCTTAAAGGACCTAGTTTGCTAATTTGGATCGAGTTGACTTATAAAAAGTTTTGACTCGGTAAAATTTTTTTCTTACCTATTTACAAAAATGCAAAAGAAATGAGGTTGGTAACAGTCATTTGGCCTGTCCAAGTATGAATGAGGTTGGTAATTTTTGGTTGAAAAATTACTTGTATGAATGAGAACATGATAGGGTAAATGAAATGGTTGTGACTTGTGAGAGAGTAAATTTGGGGTTCTTTATATCTAAAAGTAGTATGGGGTAAAGTTAAGTAATGAACTAAAGATGAAAATAGAGCAAACAATAAGGGATAGTCTGTTCTATTCACCTTATTTTCACTTATTTCAGGTCTAATAAGTTCTAATAAGTTCAGGAAAAATAAGTTCTGATAAGGGTTGCCCTAATTCAAATTACAACTAAAATAAGTTTTATTAAGGTTTAATAAGTTCAGGTAAGTTCATATAAGATCAAATAAGTTTAGATAAGTAAAAATCAGGTGAATAGAACACAGCCGAAGATGATAAAAAATTCGAGTCGAGCCAGACCTTAACATCAAATGTCATACCCAAATCCATTAAAGTGACGGGCTTGTCGGGCCAAAACAAACTTTTTGGGTCGGGATCGAATTATTAACTAAGAAAGTGCTTTTTTAGCTTGTACGAACTCACCCTTTTTTCAGACCAAATAAAGCCAAACTAGCAGGCTAGGCCATAGTTGAGCACCTCTAGACGAAGGAAATATTATTCCATTTTCTAACCGTTTAACATGGTCGCTACAACTAATATATACTTTTTTTTTTCTTCTTATCCTTCCTATAAAGAAGACAATATTATCCACTAATCTAAAGGAATAAGATGAACGTATAAAAAGAATATAATACAAACAAATTCTAACGAAAGGAGTGTGCGATAAATTGATAAGCATAGTTCGGTGCAAGGATGGAGCTACACAACCGAAAAAAGAAAAAAAAAAAAAAAGGAATTGGATGATATGTCCCAATATTGACCATAAAACAGTACGGTATAGTGGTTAGACAATAAATAAGAAAATGAAATGCACTAAAATGATCCATTAGATTTGTTGTAGTCATTGCATGACAAAAATGATAATGTTCCATGAAAAAGATCACTCCTTAACTAAAAGCGTGTCATTAAGCATATAGCAACCATTTATTTGGTGGGGGCTACATTCCAAGCACCCAACAACACCATTAAAACCAAACACGCCTGCCTTGCATGATTGACCTCCTTTTTCTTTGGCTTTATTGCTTTTGTTTACCACTAAATATCTTGTATGATTAACACTCTTAACTGTTAAGCTTATATTAAAACAAGTCTGTCAATTTCATGCATGTGAACTTTAAGTAAGAAATTAAATCTCTTCATAAATTAGATCATAGACACATATGCACCATATTCATTGTATAGTGTATACCCAATAGAACACAAGTGCGTATACAAAAGAACATGATATTGTAATGAATGAACATGAGATATGTTGTTTGATTGAGCAATAGTTTAAAATAAAAGAAGTATATTACTAGTTATTTTATCATACTATCATGTTCTTTTAGGCATGCACTTGTGTTCATTTGATGCACAGTGAACATCGAGCACATGTATTCATAGTGCAAGACTTCAAAAACACTTATCCAAACTAAAGAACATCCCAATAATATGAGAATCTGATGTTTCAATGTATGAGCCAAACTTTGGCCTTCAATTATTAACACTATCTTTGTGTTTACAATGATTAAGATTTGTTTGTAAAATTATACTTATATCTAAGTACAATTTCACATAGGATGCGCATAAACCTGCACCTTCTCTAATATCAGAAGATAAGGAGAAAACCACATCTGAATCAAATCAAAAATGAAAATTAAGTTACATCGAAACTTCATAAGGTAATGTATAATAACATGAATTGGACGTTGGACTTAGCCTCTTGCCATCTTGAACACCAGACAGCAGATTACAGTTAATCCAACGGCAAACATCCGGCCTCCTATAAGACCAGTGAGTGGAATCATCATAGTAGTCAAGTACTTCAAGTTCCCATATCTTTCCTTGACCATTTCACAGGGTTTAGAGAGTTTGTTATCAAGCTGTAACATCTCAGTCAAGCAAGTATTTGCAACCTCCAAATCGTCAACTCCACACTCATCTTCCTCAACCGATGATGTTGTTGATCCCTCTTCCTCGCTTATTTCCTGCTCGCACTCTTCTTGTCCATCATCCTCCTCCAAATCAGTTTCAGTGTCTTGACTACCATCAGGAGTATAGGCTGCATTGTTTTCTTTTTCGTGTTTATGCATCTTTTTCTTATGCATTTTCTTGGGTACAAATTTCTTCCAAAACTTCTTGTTTTTCTTACACTTAACATCATGATTAACCAATTCAGACAAATTGGAGTCTTCACACCCCTTTTCTCTTCCTTCTATGGCTCTTTTCTCCGCTACCAGGTCACTATATCTAACAGGACCACTGAGGTTTAAGCTCTTCGGGTATTTGGAATCTTTCAATTCATGGTCTAAGATTTTATACATGGGCTTGTTTTGTGATTCTTCCTCAACCAACAGAGAATTCTTGTTAACAAGGGTGCTACTATCCCCACTACCTTGCTCGATTTCCCCCTTGGAAGAAATAACTTCTCCATCATCAAATGTTCGCTCATCATCCTTATTCGAAGCATGATCACTCCCAACTTTTGGCTCGAATCCCCTACTCGATATATCTTCACTTTCAACTTCATCTTGATCGGAATCACTACTTGTAAAACGATCATCATCTCCTCCTTTACGAACTTCCCTCCTCGAACCAATAAGAAGAGACCTTGTCAACACTACCCTTCTCCCACTTCTTACCCCTAACTCCCTCCTTTGTTTAGAAAAACACCAATGTGGCAAAATTCCTTGCAACTTCCTCTTAACATCTTGGCAAGGCTTAAACAACGCACAAGCCGAGTTTCCGGCGTATTCCAATAAAATCAATAACGAAGCACCAATTGTAATCCCCACAACAAACCACTTTGTATACAGGGCTACACCAACAACCAAAGCCCCCTTCAAAATCGACATTGAAACAACATTCTCACACGGTTTCAACAACCCGAAACACGGTTTACCAACATATTCTAACAACATCAACAACAGAAACCCCAAAGTGATCAACGCAAGAAACCACCGTTTAGTATATAACACAACAGCAAAAATAACCGTTCCCAATACAATTGACAACAAAACCAAAAAACTCGAATTCGAAACCTTGAAAACCTCTCTTCTTTCCTCATCACTACCATTTTCACAAGAATCATGATGATGATGCATATCTATAACAGGGTTTTCATGGGCAACACAATCATCAACAAATAAACCGTTTTTATCAATCTGAGCAACGTTTTCTTGACAATTTTCAACAACTGAGCAACTGGAAGCATCAAAATCAAACCCAGAAACAGAAGAATCACTCACCGAGGGCAAATTTGGAAAACGGTGTTGTTCATCAACATCTTCTTCATTTGCTTTCTTCTTCTTCTTAGATTTGTGATGCTTTGATTTGGGTTTCTTCAATTTATCACGATTCTTAACAAACAGATCAATCAAAGAAGTTGGAAACCCAGTTTCAACAACGAGGGACCCACCTCGTTTAGGCCCTGTTTGGAAGTCGGCAACAAGCCGAGAAATCCGATTCCCTTTCTGTTTCTTCCATAAAGATGGCATGATTAATCAATCAATTAAAAATTCAAGTTACCCAGAAAAATTAATCTCTCAAAATCCCAGATTTTGTTGGGTGTAAATTCATCCAAACAAGGAACAAGAAAGGAGATTTGGGGATAATTTGGAAGAGAAAAAATAACCAACAAAGAGAAAGAATGTGGGAAGCGAAAAAATTGGGGAAAATAATGGAAAATTTAAGAAGCAAGTGAGAGTAAAGTGTGTGGGTTCATGTGATTTTGATTTGTTAAGAAAAAATTGGAAGGTTTTTTTAAAGAGGTGATGAGGAGACTTTTGAAAGGGAAAGGTTGGATGGACACCTTCTTACTTGGTCAAAGTTAAGATTATTTTCTTAGTTTTAAATTGAACTCCTCTGAAATAGGACATGAATGTGTATGATTATTAATTATTGGTGTTATAAAGCTAAATTAGTGGGGTATTTTGTACACATCTTTGCCCTATATATAGGGAAGGTTTGAATTGTCTTATATTGCGTTTGAGTTTTTGAGGGGATACAACCGTTGAATACATTAACGTGAAAATATTCATCAGGCTTATATTGCGTTTGAGTTTTTGAGGGGATACAGTCGTTGAATACATTAACGTGAAAATATTCATCAGGTTGTGTTGAAGTGTTTGAAAAAAACGTGTTTTGGTTCAGAGAATGATTCATGGATTCGAAAAGAATTATGTATGTTCTTATCAACAAATGAAAATTATTAAAGTCGACAACATGAAGTTATGCATAACACTAGTTAGAAAAAATTAGCGGTATGAACTATTCACCTGATTTTCAGTATTTTGAACATATGTTATCTTATCTGAATTTACTTGAACTTATTTTAATTGTAATTTGAACTTAGGTAACCCTTATCAAAACTTACTTTCCTTAATTGAATTTATCCGAAATTATTAGATCTGAAATAATGAAAATAAGGTGAACATAACATGCATTAATGCGAATACAAAGTATATGAAAATGTGAATAATAGGATTTGTAGGATTTGAGCTCAAGATTAATAAGAATTGAGCTAGAGAAATTATCTTAATTATCTTTTGATTATGTTGACGATTGAGAATTTCTTTTGGTGCAACAGATTGAGGATATTTATTGTGATACTTTTTCGTTGAGTTATATATACCATAAGGTACTAAAGTTTGACAAATGTATCACTTAGGGTACTGAACTTTAAAAATGTATCAAAGAGAGTACTCTGACGGTGACCGGAGAAAAACTATCCGCTACTAACCTATTTTAGCCGGTTAACGTGTTTATATATATAATTTTTTTTTTTTTTTTTTTTTTTTTTTTTTTTTTTTTTTTGTGTCAGCAAAAGGTCTCATAAAACGAAATGCCATCATTCTTGTTTTTCTCTCTCATCCCCTTCCTTTAATTTTTCTCTTTCCTTCTTTCATGGTTGGAAGACCTCTTTCTAAACACTTCCATGACCATAGTCCCACAACCACAATGAAAATTTATTAATTCAACTTCAATGAAAATTTATATAATAATATCCATATAAAAGCAATCAAGTCAAATTCAACAATAAGAGCAAATTCTTTTAATAGGGAAAATTTAACAATTAGCAATAAACTCAAATTTTACAATTAGAGAAAAACCCCCACCCTCGCCCACCACCGGCCGCCGGCCTTTCTCTCCCCCCTTGTTAGTTGACTCCCCTGCCATCACAACCCAATATATCCCCTGCATCACCAATCCCAACCCCTCCTTCAAACTCCCCTGCTTTTGCCATGCACACACTACATACCATTATAGTGATGCCCAACGCTACAGCCACACAATGTCCTGCTCCGCCGCACCACCAATTTCGACACCCAAACCAGCCATCATCACACTACCACCATTTGCCTACCTAACCGCAGCCACTCCCACCGCAAGTCGCAACTCATATAAAAGAAGCCACCGCAAGAAGCCGCCTCAACAACCACCAACACCTAGCAGCTGCCGGCAACAACCTCCAAACCAGAGCAGCCGAGAAAACCACTATACCTACCTCGAATTCCCACCCTAACTGGCAGGAAGTGATAGGGGTTGTTCTTCCGGTGGGTAGGGGATTTTTTGAAAAAAATAAGTTAAAAGGAGATATTTTTTTTTAACGCAAAAGGGAACATTATATTATATCACTGTGACAGAAGCCACATTAGCAAAAGATAGGCAACTAAGTTTATGGTTATCCACCGTAGAAATACATTGAAACAAACTACATTAAAAGCAGAATTAGAAAATAAAACTAAGCGCCAGATCACAAAAGCTTGCTTAAGTAACACAAATTGTTCAAAACAAGTACTGGGCGCATAATCTGGACCTTGAACAGCATTAAGTAACCACCATTTTAGGGATTTCTGAAGCATATGTTTCGAATAACTTAGCAGGAGGGTAATGGTAGAGAGCTGATTCTCCTCGAGTTACTTTAGTTCTACCAATGGTCGCTAGTTTGTCAGCAACACAATTGACAGCTCTGCTCACATGGAAGATAGTAACCTTCCAGGATCTCCTAAGCATGGAGGCAACATCCCTGATAATATTTCCTAGAAAATGGTCTTTGAAAGAATCAGGATCCTCCAACATCTTTTTTAAAGCAACCGCATCAGTTTCAAGCTCCAGGAGCTTAATATCCCTTGCCCAAGCAATAAGTAAACCTTCTTTGATAGCTAAAAGTTCAGCAGCAGCAGGAGTGATAGCATTGAAATTCACGGCATAACCAATTTGCCAAAACCCTTTCTCACATCTCAAAACATCACCTCCACTAGCATTATCTAGGCTCATCCATGATCCATCTGTGTTAAGCTTGAAGTATCCCTTATGTAGAGGAGCCCACATCCGAGGAATAGAATCTGAAGAGGATAGCATGCCAACCTGTTCCTGTTTTAAATTGAGAGTGTAATGGCAATCCACCCAGAATTTATTAAAAGTGGACTTTATAAAGAGCATTTATTTCTCAAAGATAACCATGTTCCTAGTATTCCACAAATGCCAAATGTCCACCACAAAAATAATTTTCCAAGTATAATCATTGGTCAAGTTGAAAGTCAGCCAATCAGAAAGAGTAGAGTTATAAAAAGAGTAAAAATCAAAACCCGCAAGAGCAAGATTCTGGAAAACCAAAGACCAAAAAGCCGAAGAATTAGGGCAGTCCCTAAAAACATGAATAGAATTCTCAAGAATGGCTTCACATCTTATACAAACAGGATCAAAGAAAGGTATTTTTTTTTTTTTTGAAGAGTAGTACCCACCGGAAGGATATCCCTAACTAGATTCCAAATAAGCATTTTATACTTAAAAGGAACACTAATTTCCACAGATTCTTCCAAGAAAACTTAGATAAAAAGGAAGAGTTAAGATTATAGGTAGGATTATTAGAGTTGTAAACCAATTTAGTTGTGAAGGATCCCTTTATATCCATGGTCCATTTTAACCTATCAGAAACATCAACAATGTAAGGAAGCGGATAGGCTAAAATTAAAGAACAAAGAGAAGAGGGAATAATATGAGAAACATCATCTAAATACCATTTCTTATTTCTTATGATGTTGGAAACATGCCAATGACCTTTTGAATCCAGAATATTAATATTGGGAATAAGGTAAATAGAACACTCTCCTATCCAATGGTGATACCATAGAGAAGTGTCATCACCATTCCCAATATTAATGATTATTCCTTTATTCAGAAAAGGTCTACCCGAAAGGATATCTTTCCAAATAATGGAATCAGAAGGTTTTATTGAGTAATCTAAAAAGTTAGAGTATTTCAAATATTTTGAGGTAAGGATTTGAACCCTTAGCTTATGAGGTTGGGTGAGGATCTTCCATCCTAATTTAGCCATAAAGGATAAATTCCATCTCTTTAGGTTTCTTATTCCCAAACCCCCCTTAGCCATAGGGTCACAAATCACCTTCCAATTAGTTCTAGGGATATATCTAGAAAGATTGACACGGTTCCAAAGGAATTGTTTGCACTTTTTTTGAAGTTCATTTAGAACGCTGCAAGGAAGAACATTAGTTTGCATGGCATAAATCGGATAAGAGTTTAAAACAGATTTTATCAGGGTGCATCTTCCAGCCATGTTTAAGATTTTAGCTTGCCAATTTCTTATTTTAGAACAAGTTTTATCCAATAAAGGGAAATAATCTGTAAGGCTTAGACGTTTGTGAGAAATGATAATACCAAGATACTTGCTAAAGGACGTAGTATTGGTAATATTACAAATTTCACAAATAGACTTCCTAACATTATGGTTCACCTTCTTAGGGAAGATGGCTGAAGATTTCAAAATATTAATAGAAAGGCCTGAAATACTCTTGAAGAGCTCAAGAACATTCATCATGACCTAAATGTTAGAAGGAGAAGCCTTTCCAAAAAGAAAAACATCATCCGCATAAAAGAGATGGGAGATTTTAATATCCTTAGCAATTTTCATAGGTTTCCAATCACCATGATTAACCCAATGTTGAATCATAGAAGAAAGGCGATCAAGACACAAAACAAAAATATAAGGAGATAAGGATCACCTTGACGAATACCTCTAGAAGGCTTAAAAGACTTAGTAATTTCTCCATTCCAAAGGAGGAAAATGGAAGGAGAACAAGTATAACTTAGAATAAGATTGACGAGATTAGAGGGGAGATTAATACTAAGAAGAGTATCCTTAATAAAACTCCATTCAAGACTATCAAAAGCCTTAGACAAATCAATTTTTAAGGCTAAAAGATTGGCATGTTTAGAAACTTTATTAAAATAGTGACACACTTCTTTAATAATAATGACATTTTCCTCAATAGATCTATTAGGAATAAAGCTGGATTGAAACGGGCTAATGAGATCATTCATGTAAGGTTTTAGACGATTAGAAATACATTTAGTAAGAATTTTGTAAATAGAATTACAAAGTCCAATCGGTCTAAAATCTTTCATGTTAGAAGGATGCTCACACTTAGGAATAAGGGAAATATAAGATTCATTAATCGAATTAGGAATAGAATCTTTGATAAAACAATCAGAAATGAATTTCTGAATCGAATTACCAGTAGCAGACCAATTTTTTTGATAAAAAATAGGCTGTAACCCATCTGGTCCTGGGGATTTAATGGGGTCCATTTGAAGAGGGCAAGTCTAATTTCTTCTAAAGAAGAAGGGAGACCTAGATTATCCATCATAGATTGGTCAAGAGTTTTATTAAAAGAATGAGACTGGAAAAGGGTTTCGTTGATGGACACACTTTTGAAAACAGTATAACAATAATCTCTGGCCATGTTTTTAAGAGTATTTAAATCTGTTATCCAAACATCATCATCACCTTTTAAAGATAAAATTTTCACCCTGGTTTTCTTTATGTTGGCTAATAACAAGTGAAAATACTTGGTATTACAATCAACATTCCTCCTCCAATCCAATCCAGATTTTTGAGCCCAAATTATTCTCTCAAATTTATAAATTTGATTAAGCTTGAAAAGTAAATCTCTTTCTAACTGAATAAGAAAAGGCGAATAATTTTTAGACAAAGCAATCTGAATTCCATCAATTCTAGCAATTAATCTTTTCTTTTTGTTAGTA